CATCATTGATGGCGTCAAGTGTGGCAGCGGTAGTGAGGTTGGCCCAGGATCAGACATAGTTTCGTTCTGCTGTGCATGGGGTAGCAATGAGTTGGTTCCGACTTGATGGCACCTGACAATAACAACAACAATAACAATAATCCCTTGGATATCGATGTTTATGCATTCCATTTCATTTTTTTTTTCTTAAATGTTTTTCTGTGAATCATGTGATAGTTTACATGGGAGAACATTAGTTTTACATTCATTCCATCATACATCGTCTCATTGCCATGGTTGCAATCCCCTCCATGCAATCCTTCCCCCGTACCACCCAGGTCTTCAGCACACAGTTGCTCTCCCTCTCTGGAGCCAAAGTCTCCAGCTGTGCCATCGCTCCACGTCATCATCTCTGGCTCCATTTCAGGCATCACTGCTTCTCTGGGTAGTGTCCCATTCTCTGCTCTTCTCCCTTGATGGTCCCAGGGACCTCCGCTCCTAGACTGAAAAGTCAATCACTCCCCTCCCTGCTATAAAACGTCTACCTTTACATTTCTGACCCTCACAATCTGTCCTGATAATTATTCACTATTGTATCACAAGAGACCCGTCTGCATTTCATTGCATCAGCCCCACCTAGTCAGATTGAATGCTACTCACTGGAGATTCTACCTTCCTCCAGGCCCTCTGGATCTAGGTTCCCTCTTAAAAGCTTGTAAGCCAGTCACTCATTGCCTTTGTAGCACCCCACCCCCATTTTGGGTAGCCAATGTCCAAGTTGCCCATCCCTGTCTACTCTGTGTGTGGAGGGGGTGGGAATGATTCTTGCTGTAAGGACTTGTTCCCTCTTTTGAGCTACTGGTCAAGTTCATCAAATTGTATGAGAATACTTTTTTTTTTTTTCTCTTCTTTTTACTTCTGCTTGAGCTTTGATCATCCAGTCACTGAAGCCAGGATAAGTGGGTATTATCTGCAAGTGTGGGTGTTCTTATGCATATGCCCTTTCTTCTTATCAGCTGGACGCTTCACTCTCCACTCTAGTCCTCTGTGGCTATGTCACTGACTCTGGGCCCAAGAGTCCCAAGGTCTTGCCACACTGCTGGCCAACCAGGTCTTCACCCGGGTTCACAGAAGTCTATTGAACGTTGTAGGGCTTAGCTCACCGCTTCATTGCTGTTTTTCCCTCACTTCCCCTTATCGGTATCAAGTGTGGTCACCAATCAGAGCGTGTATTCCCATCCATTTCATTTTTAACAACTTCCAGTTTCCTCGAGTAATACTTCATGCATTCCATGTTCCACTTATTAATGGATGCTTACAGCTGTTTCGCCTTATTTTGAATTGTGCCCCATCAGCAAATGAAGGTCCCAAAAGCTCACTACATTTGCATCATCACCGTCAACTCTTTATGTAGACATAGAGGGATGGACAAGTCACCAGATTGGGTACTTGAGTCCTTATTTATCTTCCTGGGGGAAAATTCACTAGATTTCCCTGAGTTTCAGATTTTAATCTATACACTGGAACAAAGAGAATCTACTTGCCCCGTAGTCTTCAAGAATCTGGTACCATGGGATCACAGAGCAGGGAGTGGCAGTGATGTCCGAGTGTTTGGGAGTTATTAGCAAAAAAGATATACAAATAAAATAAGCTGTGGTCAAGGTGGGGAGGGTGAGGGTAGATCCTCTGAGGTCCCATCAGATTGACATGAAGATAACTATTTACTACATGTCATACAATCCTGCATTGTTCCCATAGGCACCCAAAGCAGGCAGCAGGCTGCCACCAAGAAGAATGGCAGTGCCCTCTGGAGGCATCCTTGAGCACTGCCAAGAGCCCAGCTGCAATCAAAGCCAAGGGCTCCCAGCAGGACAAATGGGAACCAAATCACAGAAATAGGTGTGAATGAGCAGGTAGAAAAGGCCGCTTGGAAGAACTGGCTAGAAACCATATGAAGACTGTGGGAAGGGCTCAGGAGAAGCATGTCAAGATGTCTAAAGTGACTCTCATATACTGGATCCTGGGGAATTAGAAATCTCAACACACTGGGGACAGTGAGCAGGACATAATCACCTGGCCAATTCTCCTTCAAAGCCCTGGGTTTCCAATCCTCTATACCTCTCTGTGGTGCAGTGGTTAAAACACTTGGCTTCTTTAACCATAAGAACAAGGTGAAGACAGGAAGGCATGCTTAATCAAGAACTGCAGAGAAATAGAAAGAGACAGATACAGACACACAGAGACAGAGGTGGAAAGACAGAGACACAAAAAGATAGAGACTTAGGAAAAGACAGAAAACTGAAGAATAAGGGATTAGAGATGAAGGAAAGGAGAGGGAATATATGTTGGGAACTGTGGTAGATAGATTGGGATCTGTGAGTTTTACTGGAAACACATTTTCTTCCAAGTAGCGTAAGAGTCTTACAAGTAGCCTAAAGCTGCTGCTGAGGATCCAGGGGAATATCTGTGAAGGTTCAGCTTAGGTCAACTGTCCTGTGTGTAGAGCTGTCTTGTCTATTTGAGCTTTAAAGAACCATCTCCTTCATCCCTTACAACAGAAACCCCAAAGTTTGAACTCAGCTACGTTTGCCCTCTGATGAGTCAAGACTGGTGACTTTTGCTCTAGGTCCTCCCCCTTCTCCAGAGTCAGTATGACAACAACCCTCTAGAAGCTAACTTTTGGCATGATACTACAATTCAGCTTCCACAGCAGGCAGGACCTATGGCTGGAGAGCAAGTCTGGGGAGGACAGAGGCTTTGAACTCTCTGCCATCAGTTGTATGGCTTAGGGCACTAGGATGCTCTGGAAAGTGACTACTACACTGTTCTTCATTTACAGGGATCCTTTCTTTTTGAGGCTGGTATAAGAGTAAAGGAGCCAGAGTTCTCGAACTCTGGACAAGTCTTAAACACTTCAGAACTTTGGAACATGGTGGATCCCCAGAGGTATCTTCAGAAGACTCACCCATTTCCTAACAGCAGAGCCCAAGTCAGGGTCTGAAGAGAAAACTGTAAGGCACAATCTTGCCTCTTACCCATGCATAGGAAGATTCTAGGTTCTGTTCAGCACTTCCCTCCTTTTCTCTTACTCCAGGGAAAAGTACCAGGAAAATTTTTGGGTATCATACCTTACTTCCAAGGAATCTCCCAAGAGGTAACCCTTGAGTTATATGCCAACCAGTTTCCATATAGAGTATCCATGGGAGGATGCAACCCTTAAGGTTAAGAGAACTATGCCTCCCTTGATGCTCTTGAAAGGAGAGTAAACATCAACAAAGAACCCAGATAGACACTGGTTAAGATTCACTTCTAGAAAGTCTTCCCAAGCTAAACCCACCTCAAATTGGACTTACAAATGCCTTCAGCACCCATCATAGTCCTTAGAAACAACTATTATAAGTAAAGCAAGTTTTTTTCTGATTCAGCTATTATTTTCTTCTTGTTTCTTTCTCTGAGGCAAGGACTATGTTTCCTTTATCCTTTTCTCCACTCTCACTACCACTTGCTACTTTACCCCAACCCACTACCTGCCTCTCACCACTCTGATTGTCCTAAGCACTCTGAAGAAGACACTATGTTTTCAGGTTGAGATATTGACTACCTGATTGAGACAGGTCATGATCTTGACTTGTCCCAAAGTCAATTATCCTCCTTGAAAACCAATCATGCTCATCGCTGGTCTTTTCTTTAGCTCATTCTGTAAACTTGCACAGGGATTGTTCCCTCTCTGGTCTTTGTTATCCTGTCTGTAAAATTATTATGATTCTTGTTGCCTGGCTTGGCAACAAATCTGTCCGTGGAATCAACAGCTGCATTTCCCCCCCTTCAGTTGTAACCAAGAAGGATTCGGAGGAAATCATTTTAAAAGAGGAAATTGTCATCTCTATATTTCTAAAGCTGGCTGCGGGGGAGGGGGGAAGGGAGTGTTTATTTGCCAGGGAGTAAGGGGAGGGAAGTATTGGTGTGGCTCTATAGGATAAGCACTATACTTCTAATAGGTTGCCATTTCAAACCCACCAGCTGCTTCTCAGAAACCCTGTACTTGAGAATTGACTCAACCTTGGTAGTGGTGTGCCGTGAAGTTGCTTCCAACTCATAATGACCCTGCATGGGATTTCTGAGGCTGTAAATCTCAGCAAGCCTCATCTTTCTCCAGTGGAATGGCTGGTAGTTTTGAACTGCTGACCTTGAGGTTAGCAACCCAATTCATAACCACTACACTACCAGAGCTCCTTCAACCTTGTATTTAGGAAACTCTAAACAGGGTTGTTGGTGTGGCGCTGTGGGTTAATGCGCCAGACTGCAAAGCCATTTGAACTGCAAAGTTGGAGGTCCAAGCTCACCAGCTGCTCCTTGGAAACCGTATACATGGCCACTATGGGTCACAACCGACTTGATGGCACTTAACAACAATAATAAATGGGATTGCTATGAGTCGGAAACAGACTCCGTGGCACTTAACAACAATAAGGGAAGGGGAAAGGTATATGAGGGAAGGGGCAGCTAGGATTGAGGGGTGGGGTTGGGACAGAGTTGGAAGGACTCTGGGAGATAGCATCTACATTTTTGACTCTGAACCCTTGGTCAGTGCTATACCTTCCGTGACTTCTGACTCTTGTACTGGCTAGTCCTACACCAAATAGACCCAAGTGTCAGTTGGAGGCTTCCAGGACCTCTTCTTTTTATTTCCAGCCCCCCAATCCACATTTCCAAATGTCTCTGTAGCAAAGTGAAGTTCCACACGGGCAAGCTTTAGGAAAAATATTTAAAGAAAAAAGAAAATGAAACAATTGGCAATGAAAGGCAGAAGAGAAGATGGAGCCCTTAGAAAAGGGAGTATCCCTGAGGAGGTGGGGACAAGGGGAGGAGAAGGGGAGGAGGAGAGGAGGAGGAAAGCGGGCCTGTCCCTTTAAGGGGGTTGGCTGTCAATCAGAAAGCCCTTTTCATTGCAAGAGAAGAGGACAAAGATACTCAGAGAGAAAAAGTAAAGGACCGGAGAAGGAGACTGGAGAGACCAGGATCCTTCCAGCTGAACAAAATCAGCCACCAAGCAGACTAGTCAGCCGGCTACCATTGGAGTCAGAGTCCCAAAGACATGGGTGAGTTTCAAAACTTTAGCATAGGAATTCACAAGACAATTTCCAATTTGGGGATTCAGGGTTTACAATGGTTTAAATAAGTCGTGATTTGGCATTTGTTTTCTTTTTAATTACTTAGCATGCGACCAAATTAACTCCTTCTCTTCTGTACTGAAAATGATGCTTTATTGCCAAAGAATTGCAGCAGCACATGGAAAGTCCCACAGATCCTTGGAGACAGTGCTCAGCTGGGTGGATGTTTTCATGGGTCCTCTTACCCTCTCACTTGCCTCTACCTTCTCTTGGAGCTTGGTTCAAAGGCCTGGTAATGGCCAGGTCAGTTGGCACCCCTAGTGCTGTTGGAGGCAACTGAGTGGTGGCTAGTACTCAGGTGCACATCAGCTGCTTGCTTACTACCAAACTTGAACCCTGTTTGGCATCAGTAGGAAGTTGGGGAACCAGACAAACTGGCCATAGGTTTGGTTATGGCTAAGGAGGTCAATCACAAATTCAGGAAATGAAAATAAAGTCCCCAATGGCTTTACCATGGGGAACAGATATATTTAGGTGTGTGTGTGTGTGTGTGTATGTATGTATGTATGTATAGATGATCATTTCTAGCAAATATCACAGACTCAACCTCCCTTAGGGCATGGCTTAGACTCTGAATCTCTGTTTGTGACAAGGAGGCTACTAGGACCTTAGGTCTCTTGCAGAGTTGGTTGGGTACTGAGGGCTTCTCCGAGTTCCTGAAACAAATGAAAAAGTCTATGAGTTTCTGGCCTCTGGTCTTGTCTAGTCAGAGAAAGATGTGCAGAACCAAGGGTCTTTATTTGTATAGGATACCACAGAGATATGTAGACACTACTCATATTTGGCAAAGCAACTGTAGCAGCTTGAATGCATATTACATAAAATGAGAATGAATTACTGCATATATTGACCAACAAATATAGTACCCAGTAGATTCCAACAGTGCCCACACAGAGAAGGTTTTCAGTTATAAGGAGCTGATGTCAGTCTTAGGTTGTTTTATCCTAAGATATTTCTTTGAAATGAGTATTTTGGTAGGATAGTTAAGAGGTCAGAACAACCAGGTTTGAATCCCAGATCTACCATTTATGAACTGTGTGATCTTGGGTAGGTCATTGTGAACAACCATCTTATCATCTGGAAAATGGAAATAACAATAACTCATCTATCTATTTTCAGGATTGTGATCATCAAATAAAAAGGATATGGAAATTCTTTGAAATTAGGCGAGTACCGTTAGAATTGTACAGGCTGACTTTTCTTATTTCCAGAGTGGTTGGGTTTTATTTGCATGCACTTTGTGTGCTTGGGTGAGAATCATTGGACCGACCAATTAAGAATCATTGGGTAAGAATCATTGGCTGGGTGAGAGGTGAATGCTAGAGAACTCATTTCCTGTCTGGGGTAACATCAGGCACCCTATCGACTTTCAAACCAGCTGATAGGGTAGGTTTTGAATTAATAATGGAGACGGGGCAAAGAAAGATGTTGAATATTAATTCCTCAGGGGAAGAAAGCCCTGAGGTAATAGCAGGAACAAATAAGGAGACCATAGGGACAGTCTTCTATTATGGAAGATGGATGATGGTCAGAGATAGGATCACCAGGGAGGACATGAATTGGATTCCAGATCTTGGGAGTAGGCAACAAAATCCAGGTACACATGATGGAAGTAACCACTGCATGTTCAGTTATTCAATAACAGAGTATCTCAAATACTTTGTTAGTTATAGACCACCTTTAACAAGGTATTGAACTGCTACTGCTTCTGAGGTGAAATGTGTTGCTGTTTTACAATTACAGTAAAGAGATTATATCATGGAATCTGGAATTGAAATAAATTTTAGAAGTTGTCTGAGCCAACCCTCTATGTTGAACAGCCAATTGAATGTTCCTACAACCTCTGCCTAATTACCTCCAGGAACAGGGAGCTCACAACCTTATCCATGTAGAATCCCTTAGAATTGGAACAAAGAGGAACACTAAATTTACTAGTGCCTGCACAAAAGGTTTATAGGGAAATGATAGTTCATTACACTTTGTCCTGACTTGGAAGGGGAGTGTTCCAAATGAATCTTTGGGATAACAATGGAACCGGAAAAAAAGCCAAAGAGCAGTGGCTGATTTTTCTCTGTTCAGTAACACAATGCTATTACTGAACAGCAAAACATTGGCTCCTGCAAGCCTGTTGTCTGAGAACAGTGGCTGTTACCGTGGTAACCAGACTGTGATGCTTCCCTCCAAAGGTGGCTGTTTGCCGAGCAGTATAGTTTGGGCTGGCTGAGAGTAAGTGGATGTAACCCAGACAGAGTGCGAAGGCAGAGCAGGGGCCTACTTTCATAAAATGCTTGGGGACTAACTGAATACCACCAAGACTGCAAGAATGCTGCAAGAACGCCAGAAACTAAAAGGAAACTAGACCCAAACCATCACTTTAACCTACTCATCCTAAAGACACTGACTAAAACCACCAAGCACAGCCTCCCTGCAGAACCAAAGGAGCTCTTGGAGAAGTAAGCAAATTGGAAAGTCTGCTTTGCTTTGGAGTGTTTCCTCCTGGTGAGGAAAACAAGAAGTTTACTTAACAGCCTGACAGTAAAACTGCTCTCTAGGAGTTCTCTGAAGTTAAGACTCAAGAAATCCTTGGGAGATAGGTGAGAGGGGAAATATAGTCTCCAAATCCAGCCAATGACATTTCTGTACATTATCTTCAAATCCTAAAATCCATCTCTGTGGTTTAGTTCTTAGTCTTAAGAGAAAGCAGCAGTGGAAATTTTCTCCTTGTAGGTACAGAGAAGATCATGTGAGGGCACTGACATGATTGGAATGAGTTGCAACAACTGGAGCAGTTGAACAGAGCAACTTTCCCTTCCTTTCCCATTGCCAGACCCACCCAGTGCCAAACTGACATCAAAAGTTCAGTAAGCACTGATTGATTAATCCCTCATTGGCAATTGCAAAATAGTCCTAAGGGCAATCAATTTCTCAGCTCTGCACTGACCTCTGAGCACTCTTTCAAACTCGACTCTGGAGAGTAGCCAGTGACATCTCAAAGAAGAGAACAGTTTCCCAGATCGTGTGTGTGTGTGTGTGTGTGTGTGTGTGTATGTGTGTGTGTTGGGGAGGAGTAGGGAGCATAGGAAACAAGGTGGTCCAGATGCTGTTGCTATAGTAATATTACCTGTCCAATAAAGAGACTGAGTTTCTTTATTTGATCCTGTCCACATGAATTGACTATGCAGCAGAGCTTGGATACCCAGGACCCAGTGACTAAAAAAGGGCCCTTTTTTAGTTCTTGAATATAGTATGCATTGATATCATGGACATCAAGATCATAGACAGGGCTTTGTCTGACCAGGATAAGGCCAGAAGCAAAAGTCTTTGTCTCACCACCTCCTGATGATTGTCATTTTACTCCTAGAACCCACCCACTGATCCCCATCCATCCGAAGTACCAGTCACGGCTGCTCTAGCATCTTGGCCCTGTCAACTGCAATAGGCCCTGATCAAGGAAGCCTCTGTTCATGGGGTGAAGTTAAGGGGTGGGTTCTGGGAGGAGGGTAAGACTGTAGTGCAGATTAGAGACTTAGGGAGATGGGGCCATTTTCTCACTCAATGAGCCTGCCTGTTGTTTAGCTCTATTGTGTAGGGTTCTTCTATCTCTCCCTTTGTCAGCTGGATTCAAGGGACAGGCTGGGAATTGTACAGGGCACAATTGGTCTCTTTCTGTCATCCTTTTCGATGAAAGCCCTTCATTTCCTCCCTTTGATGAGCTCCCAGATTCACACTGAATTTCCATCATGGAGCTGGTCCTTGAGGCGTGCCCAGGGCATGGGAAACAAGGGAGGGCTTGGGAGCTCATAGCTCTTGCTTAAAGAGAGAGCTTCAGAATCAGCACAGTCCCTTGGATGGACATGGATTTGGATGAGTCACACGGCCCTATCGATCTTTGTCAGACCCCTATATTACAGCATTAGGGAGGAAAGCTTAAATTTAGTAAGAGGTTGATTAGACTTGGTTAGGGAGTTTGCAGATAAACCCAGTCAACACTGAACTTTTTTTTTGACTTTTTGCACATAGGACTTGATTATATCCATCTCAACACTTGAGTACATAGCTTTAGTCTTGATTTGCAGGCAAGTGTGTTCTCCTCAACAAGACTGCAAGTTCTCTAGAGAAAGAGATTAGACCTTATAGTTCTTTTCTGTTTTCCATAGTATCTAAGTTACTGCTAAGGTGCTAAAGACTTAGACTGAATCCACATGTAGAGAATTAGAATCGAAAAGAAAACACTAGGGAGGGGTCATTACTTTATGACCTCTTAACAAAGTCAGGCAATTTAACCCAATTGAGTTGCATTGGGGAATATCATTACAATACAGGTCTTTTATGCCAACTCTACCATGGCACAGTCTGTACTTAGCCTGGGAATATGAGACAATCTTTTTAGAGCGTGAACCTCTCTTTTGGAATTCCTCACAGGGTTCCCAAATCAAGGCAAAACCCTTCCAACAATGAAGGATTCTGAAATGGAGCATCTGCAGCTTTAGGCTATTACTCACACAACCAAAGGGCATTTCTTGAGCTGTGGAAAGTCAGAGTGAACCCAATGGACCTTCCTCAGAATTCTTTGATTGTCAACTACTTTTATGACAAGAAATGTTCTGGCATGTTCTGAGTTTTCCTCAGTTGGAATCCCAAATTTGATTTTTGCTTGGACAGACTGATTGAGATTCCTCCCTTGTGCTGAACTCAAATGCCCTCAGAGCAAGCATTTCATCAATTGTGACAGAGATGGGCATCTGGTCCTTACACTGATGTCGTCGAACTGTTTGCCATTTATCTCAGACTCCATATTAGAGATTCATTAAAACCAATTTCTTCCCTTCTTGTCTCTTGTTTTGAATGACAGTGGAACAGAAAAGGGGATGCTAAGTTATTTGAGTTCAAGAAAAATGGATGTAAGAATAAAGAGTATCAGTTGATGATGCAAGAGTTGCTTCCAAGGCTTAGCCCTTTATTACCCAGTGAAAATACTACAAATGACACTCTGGTTATTTGGATAGTGACCAAGGGATCAGACGTACTAAACATATATTTCTCTTCATTGAAACCCTGGAGGGGTTATCAGCTAAAGCTTAGAGTAGAATTTTGTCTTTGGCTACCTAGAGTTCAAGTTCCTCCATTCTGACCACACCTGCACCACCATTTAGCCCTTCCCAGAGTGAAAGAGCTGGGGTTAGTGAGTGGGTGCAGAAGGGCCACTTGCTGGGGTAAATGGCTCTCCTTACCCTGGGCTAAACAAACAGTCCTGCTATTGTTCTCAGGGTCTGACCCCCTCCCCACCCCCAGGCCTGTGGGCCCCTGTAGAATACCAATGAGGCCCCTGAGATCTCAGGGGAAAACAAGGTTCCTTTGTCTTAGAGAGCTATGGAGGGCTCTGCCCAAGCCCTGACCCTGTGCTGGGGGGAAAGGGAACAGTAGTGTCAGTGACCTTCCCGTATCTCCACCCTCAGGCTTCAGAGCCCTTCTTTACAAGAAGAGTGTAAGAGGTTAGGGGTGGGGAAGAGTTGTATAGCCAGAGAAGGAAAATGGTAACACTGGTTACTTCCAAGTTCCCTTTTTTTGCTCTCAGGTTAATATCTTAACCTGTTGAGAAAGAGGAAGATCTATTTCTGGAATCATTTGCTAAGAGCAATAATCAATTTAAGTCACTGTATTCTCTTTTGTTAGTACGTATTTGCATGTGACATGTGTGCATTAACATGCATGTGTGCATGAACATGCGTGTGCACACATACGCACATTATGAGTCAGCTCTGATGAGCGTTTCTTACCAAGCACTCTTGCAAAGTTCATACTGAGTAAAGTTAACCTCCACTGGCAGCAGTACAGCTACAAATGGTTTGTTTCCCATAGAAGCCAACTTCTCTGACAGCAGTGCTTCAACGATTGGAAAAAGGTATTGGGTTCTGCTGTAAATGTTAGCTACTTTCTTTGCTTGGCGTGGGCTTCTAAGTCTCATCTCTGAGGTGATATATAAGCATCTTTGAAGACAAGGTTCTTTGAAGGTCAGGGAAAGGTCATATTGGGAGGTAGTGGGTAATAGGACTTACTCATTTTGTGACTTCAACTTTCTTGATAAAGATAATTTTGTCCATCAGAACTGTTCATATTGATGCAATTCAGCCACACAAATCTCCAGGTGCTTTTGGACTCAAGACCAGAAAGAAACTGTCCTAGGACTTTTACTCATATACCCCTCAGTATAGACAAGTGAAAGGAATCCTGGTGGTGTTGTAGAAGTACTGGATTACTAACCACAAGGTCAGCAGTTCAAACCTACCGGTCACTCCATGGGAGACAGATGAGACGTTCTGCTCCTGTAAAGATTTACAGCCTCAAAAACTCTGTACAGTGCCATAGGGTCATTGTGAGTTGAAAGTACGACTTAATAGCAGTGGGTTTGGTTTGGGGATTTATGGACAAGTGAGTTTGGCTTGGAGAAATTCTTGAATATAAGAATCCAAAATAAAA